CATAAGACCTTTCTTGTAGAGCACGACGAGATCTACAATTTCCATATAAAAATTCTTTGCTAGCCTCAATAGTTTCCGAGTAATTTGCAAAAAACGAAAAAACAGTTTTTTGTAAATTACTCGTAAACTATTGAAGCTAGCGAAAAATTTTTACATGGAAATTGTAGATCTCGTCGTCCTCTACAAAAAAGATCTGATGCAATTTTTCCGTAGCTCCGACGGTTTGGGAGTTATTAGTAAAAAACGCAAATTTCGCGAAATCTGAAGGGGTACCCCTTGGAAAAATCTCGGAAAAATCGAAAATTTTTTTTTGTTGTTTATTATTAGCAATGTTCTTCCGACGTCTGATTTCTTTTTAAAAAATGCGTTTCTAAAGTGTATAAACTTTTGGGATTGACTGTATAGCCAATACATCCTTAAATACGAATAGTGTCGACAGGCCTGAGACACCTAAAAAGACTGATTTGTGACTGATACTCGAGACAAAATCGATCTCATTAAAGCATCTCCTGTCACTGAGGTAGAGTAATTTGAAAAAATCCATAATTGGATGGTAATCATGATTAGACTGAATTATTGGCAATAAAGTATGTAATGTTGGATGTCTTAGAAAGTGTTGCACACCCTCAAGTTCACATCTTTAATTAAACAAGGAGTCCAGATTATTGAGGCATATTCAAAGTGAAACAGGACCAAAGCATTATGCAAGGTAATAAGGGTAATCCGATTAACATAATGAACCGAGGACCTAATAAGAAGACATTCGTTCTCAAGTTTAATGATTTACTTGAGGTATTTTAAAACAATAAATCATAAGACAGTGAATAATCTTATTTTTTAGAATAGATAGTACTTTTTTAAAAATGATGTCAGTTATTTTGAAAACCGGAAGTTCTTTCAGATTACTCTAACAGATATGAATATTACGATTACAGTAAATCCACGGACTGTACGTAATCGCGATCACAGTCGTGATCGAGTATAATCACAGGTCGTGATTTCGCGATCACCATGAAAAATCGCGGTTACATGGTTTCGAACACCATCTCTAGTTGCAGCGAATGCAATTTAGGAATCGAGAACACGCTTACAAAGGACGGGAGAAATTTCACGCGTATACCGTTACAAGCCGATCGTCTCTGTTTGACGGCGACGTGTTGTTTGATCTCAGAGCCCAATCCATGGTTAGAGAAAAAAGAGAACGCTTTTTCCTCTCGAATCCCATTTCATACGCGCTTTGTTGGCACATTTTGCATGATCGAGGCTTTTGTCCTCGCGCTGAACTATTTAAATTACGCAACGACGGGTTTCGCTGTATGGCAGTGCTTTTCCAGTAATTACACTACCTGCGAGAGAGTCGCAGAGAAGCATTTGTTTATCAGACGTGGCGAAAAGAAAAAGGGATGGCGTTTAATTAATATGAAACAAAATTAATCGCCCACAGGAAAAAAATTTCCTCATCTACAAGCGACGAAGCTCCTCGTTCATTTTCCAACTTTCTCTGGCCAGCAGAAAATGTTTTTCAATGGAATGGTCTTACGCAAGCAAAAAATATGGCAAAAAAAAAGCTGGTGCTTAAAAAGCCATGCTGTTCTCGTAATACTTTATATTGGGATGCTATAAACGGTAATCAAAACGAAACGGTCGCTACCGTCGTTACTATGGCCCGACAATTTGTGAAGGGTAAATCCTCGATATATGTCGAGATCGACGACTGAATCGCGTATACAGGATGTATCATTTTCCCAGAAGCCAACCACTGTATCTGGTAGACAGCGAACGATCGATCACTATCACAACCTTTTTCCCGGGAAACAAAAATGATAAAATTAATCGTCCGACGATTGTACACGAAGAGGGGGATAAGTTCTTTGAGTAACGCGTCAAAATATGTCGATCAGAGACAGTCATTGATTAAAAAATAGAGAATGTTCAGTTTCGTAATAGAACAGGAAGAACAGGCGTGTGGATTCGTAAGAAACGAGGGTCAGTGATAATAAACAAAGCTCAGAATGAAACGAAATAGAATACGGATTCGCGGAATGGGCATCCTTGACCGGACGCCGTGCATTAAGGAAAGAAAATAGATTCGAGCAAACGGTTGCAGCTTGGGGAAACTGGCTCTAACCGAAATCTATACGAAACGATCGCAGACACAATTCGTGTGCTTTCAACATTAATCATATATCTGATTAATGTTGAAAGCACACGAAATTAAAACTATTTTTCACGGACAAAATTATATACAGAACGAAACCCTCGGAGAGAAACGCAGGACTAGTAATCGTAAAATGTGTATTTCATATAGATGTTCATGATGAAGTGTAAAGCCTGAAGAAACATTGACACACTCGTTCGGTTCTATAAAAAAAGTAGAATGAAGTTACATTGCGTATTGCGTATACATATCGAGTGGCACGCGTTTTGCCTGTTGTATCTCAAGTGGTTTTTCAGGGTATCTCACGCCTACACCATTTGATTCTTCCGCAGTAACTTCAGAAGATTTATGCCCGGCACAAACGTTCCTGGTTCATTCTAAAGATTAATCGAGTTATGGAACTTTCGAACTACATTAAAAGTTTGAATTTCGGTGACAGTCTTTTATTAAATAAATTTACGTATGCTGGTCAAGGAATAATTGTATTTTAGTGTATATTTATCTAAGAATTTCTTTGCTTACATCACTATAAATAGTATAAAATTGTCACAATTATTAAAAATTATAATTAACATACTTATCGCGAGTTCAAATTGG